CAGTTGACTCTTTATTGATATTACTATACATAGGTGTCTAAATTATTTTTTAAAAAAAGCAATTTTGACAAACATTTCAACATTTGCTAGTTTTTTTATATGAATTCTACAAAGTAATTATACTATCTAACGTATTTTAATATAAAGAATTCAAATAATTTCACTAAAAATTTTAACAACTATGAAATTTAATTTCATCATTAAGAAAAATTAATTTCAACAAGCTAAATGTCGAAATAATTTTTTATTAAGAAGAATAATTAGACATCTATGTATAGATATTGCATAGATTATAGTAGAGTTAGATTTGAATTTAATTATTTGTATAATTATCTATAAAGTTCACAAATTATATAATTGTTATAGAACTTGCACAGAATAGAGACCTATATTATTATTTAAAAAATGTAAAGTATACTTTATGTTGAATAGACAAATTAAAACTATTACAACAAATTTCACAACAAATTTTAATAAAACTTAACTTAGTTTATGAATATAATATTATACCTAATACTGAATTTCTTTCTAATTGAATGTTATTCTTTTCAGGTTCCTATCCCAATAGTCACCGCCAAATCGAGCCTGAGTTATTACAAATAATCATGCAGAATTGGCAACTTGATAATTTTGTATTGGCACAATTGGATAATTTGAAACTTGTTAAAAGTTTAAAGTCTATACAACCAAGAGCAACTTTGGAAAGTTTGTCAATTTATAATAAATTTGAGTTTGACGAGCTTTGTTATTTTAGACAAATTTATCAACTTGAAGTTGAAGACACAATTACCGTACTGAACCTTTTCCCAAAGAAATGCTATCATCTAAAAAATTTAACATTAGTTTGCCAAATGATATATATAATACTTTAGTAGAGTATTATAATAATGCTTATAACATAGAATTTTTATCAATTACTGAGTCTGTTCAGAGAAATATAAAATACTCAGACCATAAAATTATTGTTCGGCCTCAAGTAAATCAGTTCAGGCGTATTCATATTGAAGCCAAAATATTTGGATCTGCTAGTACATCTCAGTATCTAAATAATTCATTTATACTTGCAAAATTTGTGCAAGAAAATAGTTTAATAGATGTATTTCCGGGTCAAGTATAGTACTTTTATGAACACACAGTTAATCTACTGAAAAAAAGAGAAATTTATCGATTGGCTTATATACAGTGCCTGACAAAAGTTTTCTGCACTTATATCTCTTCATAGAGAGGTGCTACGACCTCAAAACTATCAGAAATCTTAGTACATAAATAGATTAGAAGATGTGTCATTTTTGAAGATTTTTTAATTACTAGAAAAAAATTTAGATGAGAGCAAATTTTTGGGCATTTTTTGTCCAAAAAAAAGTATTTAATTCAAAGAAAAAGCAATATATCGTCAAGGCTTAGAGCTAAAAATTCTAAAATTTAATATATTTTTAAAATTCAATGATTTCTGTAGTAGTGACAAAAAATTTGACTTGATTTGATGAGATAGTTATTGAGAAATTAATTTTTAAAGCTTTGAGTCTTATTTTTATTATGTTTGATTTGTTGATATCTGACCCTTTTTTGTATTGCAACCAGTTTTTCACGAATAACTCATGTTTTAACAGTCCAAATAAGATCCCAAACATTTTTAATATAGGTTATAACAGATCTGTATGGATTTGGGGGTTTTTGCTACCCCTAAAATCAAATAAATTTGCTAAAAATTTAATTATTACATATAAAATTTATAGTAATTTGCTAAAAAATTATTATAAAACGCATTTATGGTAGTTTTACACCTATGTATAATTTCTTTTAATAAAATTTAGAGTTAGAAAATTAAGAATTTTTTTTTATATAATATATTATAGAGCTAC